TCCTTACAGTGGAAACAAGCACCTGAAACACGAACAGTTCTTGATTATAAATGTACAAGATCAGTTAGCTACATCTCTATCCAATGCTAAAAGTTCAGAGAACAGCAAAGTAACTGTAGACTTCTTAGCTTTGACATAAACAATCAAAATAGGCAAGTGGCACTACCACACTAAAAGTCAGCCATTTTGAGAAAAACGTCACTTCCGGTCAGAAATAAGAAATCAGGCTTGGCTGCCCGACTGCAGTTGCTTCTCCACGTGGGTAAAACTGATTAATGCATTTATAATTACTATTAATTTAACACTAATTATTATTAGCAATAATTATTTAAAAATATTACAATTTAGCAACTAGCAATGATGACTACAATTTAGCAATTAGCAATGACTACAATTTAGCAGTTAGTAATAGCAAATTAGCATTTTAGAAGACAGTGACAAATAAAATAAAGACGAATATACAATTGTTCTGGCCATCTGCATGGCCCTAAACTCTTGAATCAATCTCAACTAACAGGCTCTCATCATCTTCACCACTCTGATCACTGTCAGCTTTCTTTGCGATAGCTAAGGCAGATTTTGTTTCTGCTTCTATACGAACACTACCATCAAACTCTCCTTTGTTATTCATAGCTTTGACATAAAATGCATATTTTGTATTCGATGCCAATCCCTTAGCTGTGGCAGAAAGCTTTTTTGTGTAGATGAATTTAGTTTCAATCCCATCAAACTCATTTTTTCTCTTTGTGTATCTCACCTCATATTGCTGAACAAATAGACCTGCATCTTCTATATTTGGCGGGTCCCAACGAATTTTAAGCATATCTTTGGCAACCTTGGATGATTGCCTTACGTTGATGGGTTTTCCAGGTACAGGTATCTGTGTCCATACATTAACTGCTTCACTAGGAGCACTATTTCCAGACTCATTAACAAGAGTAACTCGAATTGAATAGCGAGAATCAGGTGACAGGCCCCTTATTTTTGAAGTAAGAGTTGATGGTTGTTCTTTTACTGGAAAATGCCTTGTGTACCATTTGCTACTATTATCATATTCACAATACTCAACTATTATTTGATGGACAGGATCGCCATTTGATTCTTCAATTTCAGGAACTTTGGTAAATACTCTAGCATCATTATATCCAGGAACTACTTTAGGTGCATCTGGTCTGTTAGGTGGCGTTGTTTTAAAACGTGCTATTGTCTGCTCACTCCACTCACCCGGTCCATTTCCATTGATTGCACGTACTTGAATATTGTAGATCTTTCCAGGCTCAATTCTTGGAGGACCAATACTGATCTTATTATAATCAGGACCAACTGGTATCATATCATCAGTAGAATCATCTAACAGTACCTCATACATCTCTACTGAACCAGAAGAATTATCATTGTCTTCCCAGCTAATAATCATCTGATTCCCTTCAATATCTACTACTGGCTTGCTAAGTGCAGCAGGAGATTTCAAAACTCCATCCTTTATTTTGTATACTCCTGCTGAAGGGTAAGCAGCAACTCGTTTTATTTCCATTCTTTCCTTCCTTGATAATGCCATATTTCTAGAACTTTGCTCAGACAATGCACATAGCATCTGAGTTGCTAAATTTTCATTGATTGATGTGAGTTCTGCTAAAATATTTGTCAGTGTAACCCTATTAGAAGCTGAAAAAAAAAACTTTGTCGAGGACCATTGCTGAGTTACATCTAAACACGAAAGATGGCATGCATTCAAACGAACTTCTGTAGCCTTAAGTACAGTTTTCATCATAGCTATGAAATTTTCATCACTATGATTACTAATTTTCTGCACATGAGATTCAATATCTTCCATTTTTCTCAATATGTCATCACGTAGTTTGTCAACAAACCTCATATCTGACACTAATTTGTAGATTGTCTGAATAGTATTAAGTACAACACTGCAACCTGGAGATACCATTCCTGCCATCTTTCACCTTTCTTGCCTTTCTTGAGGTCCAAATGAACGTATTAAAACTTTCCAACCAGCCAACCAAAAGAACAGAACTAAAGATTATGTGTTAGTTTCAAAAAGCAGTAAGATTATATTCACATGCAATGATTAAAAGTAAAATCTAGGGGGTTAGTTCCAATGTATTTATTCATCATAATGATTATAAGTAATGTCTAGGGGGTTAGTTCCAAGGAATGTAATGTTTCCTATTAACTGATACACAAAAAGTGAATATGAATTAAATAAGAACTGAAATATTATGAGCCGGCCATAACTCAACAACAATTCAAAACAATGGCACAAACCTATTAAGTTCCAATACCTTTAGTCAAAATCTAAACATTCTAGCTAATAAAGCTGCGATTGTTCTTTGAGTGTCTCCTCCACACTCCCTCAATCCTTCAATGGCTTGTTCTCTTGTAAACCCAGCACTCATCACCCTCTGTATGTCATCCTCTGGAACCAACTGAGGGGGAGGAGAAGGAGGAGGAGCCTCACCAGTCCTCTCCTGATACTCTTGTTCTGATTGCTGTATCAACGAGGCTATCTCTCTGTCTTCATCTTCAATGATTCCTCTCTATGAAGGAGGACATGTAAATTCACATAATGTACATGGTTACATTATCTACATGGTTACATAATGTACACGGTTGCATATACATGTATGATGTGCATATACCTCTTCTTGCTTATGTTGTGCCATGGAGAGTTCCTCAACTTCTTTTTCAGACAAGAAGTGTGTCTCAGCTCCAGTGGTACCAACCCTCAGTACACCTTTACTCAAATCAACTATACACTGCAGATACAAGAGAGAGAGAATATTAATAATATTACTTGCAATTTCTATTTCTTGTAAGCTTTTGTTTCCTCCCATAAGAGAGAGTTTCCTTTTCTTATCATTATTACATGTAAATGTAGTAACAAGCTTTTTTACTAGGCCTCTTCTCCCTCTTTCTTTCTCCTTTCCTCTCTTACTTGATGTCTCTTAAGCATATCCAGCCCCAGTATTAGCTCATGACTCTGATCCTCCAGTACCCTGAAGGAAGAAGCAAGATAGTCCTGTCCAACCTGTACCTGGCACATATGCACTACTCCTATAATCCTTTGTCTCCCTACCCCCACGGCTATCCCTGCTCCTCTCCTATCCACTAGTCTCATTACGTTGCATCTCTCAGCACATTTAGTGTTCATGATAGTCATCTGTGCTCCAGTGTCCACCATAGCCTTCACGCTGACTCCATTCACTTTCACTTGTACATAAAGCATAATGACCCGACTGGTGACAATCTCTGGATTATACTCGAGTGCCGTTTCAAAGTTCTCTCTTATGTTTCTTTGGCGAATGTTCTCGGCTAGTCTTTCCTGGTATTCTGAACTCATTGGGTCTAATCCTTCTAACTGCTGTCTCTCTCTCTCTAGCTCCTAAAGCAACAAAGAAATACACTGTACAGCTAAAAGTGTATAATGAATATGATGATAGTGTTCTGAATAAGGATTAGAATAAAGCTGGCTGCTGTGAATATTAGGAGCTTAAAATTTCACTAGTTTGGATGTTTGCAAAAATTAAAATGTAATTACACAAAATATTTTGGTATTTTAATTACATGTACATGTACTAATTACTACATGTAATAAAATATTACTTATCATTAATATTTATTACAAATTTACAATTAATTCTTCCCTGTGGTAAAGTATTGCCTGCTTCACTATGTTAATGTCTCCAGTGGCAATGGCTTCGGCTAACTGAGGGCTACGCTGTCTTAGAACACTCATCTCCTCGGGGTTTGATAGAAAATGTTGCAGGAGGGTCTCGGGGTTGAAAGATTCTGGACCCCCTGGAGTCTGGATTCCTGATAATGGGGTCAATCCCATCTCCAGACCCCCTTCAGTGGAAGGAGGCGGGGCAGCATCAGGTTGAGCTCCTTTAATAATAAAAATAAATATATAAATTAATATTAAAATGGCCGATTTATAGTAAATTTAATACATAATGCATTCATTGCATTAAATACCAAAATCGGGCCAAAGTCCCTGTACTATAGTACATGGTCTCGGGTCAAATTTTCCCAAAAACGAAAAGGAGAAAATTCTCCATTTTTATCATGTTTTCTGATACATATACATGTACTTATGTTGCGTAGAAAGTTTGAGCTGATTCCGATCAAAATTGGATTTTTTATGAATTTTTAAAGTTGCTCCAAAACCAGGCCAAAGTCCCTGTACTATAGTACATGGTCTTGGACCAAATTTCGCCAAAATTGAAAAGGAGAGAATTCTCCATTTTTATAAGTTTTTTGGATGCATATACATGTACTCATGTTGTGTAGAAAGTTTGAACTGATTCCGATCAAAATTAAATTTTTTATGAATTTTTAAAGTTGCTCCAAAATGCCATGTACTGTATTGTAGTGCTTGTCAGCTCATGAAGCTCATGCTGTCTAGCTCATTTAGCATGCTTAGTAGGAAACCCTGATATACATACATACTTGATTGGGATACGCTAATAGAGCTCCAGTCAATATTCGGTAATCCCGTTCCTGTTCCAGACGGTACGGAAGTCTGGGTCTGAGTCTGGCCAGTGGTGGGCGGGGCTTGTACATCCTGACGATTAGCAACCACAACAATATCCTTATCCTGGACGCCAAGAGACGTGAGGGTATTTTCTCCTTCAGCTCTTTCCCTCAGCTCTTGCATGTTGTGATAGAGGATTAGGGATCCTTGTGGTATGTTGGTTTCCATTGATAATAGAGCCTTGAGGTCGTTTAGTGGTAGCTCTTCGCTCACATCAACTGGATAGACATTGCCATCTATAGTACTGATCACTATCTGCATTGTAAAGAGAGAGAGACAAAATAAAAAACAAAATTAATAATAATAATGATTTTTTGAAAGAAACAATGCCACAAAGATGATTAATTTTTTTTAATTAAACGTTTTACAAAATAATTTTGAAAATTAGATAGTTTACGGTCTAGCCTACCGTAAATATTCTTAGACGTGTGTAATTTTTTCTTATTCTTTAATTTAAAAACGTTCAAAATGCCTGACTATCTTGGTAAAGATCAAAGAAGAACTAAAGAGGGTGAAGACGAGGAAGAAAAGCCAATTACAAGTGAGAGAGGACCTTTACTTTATTTATTTATTTTGTTTTTAGGTCTTGACGAAGGAGACATTCAAATACTCAAGACTTATGTAAGATCTTATTTTAATTATTTTAATTAATTACAAACCACACCCACAATTTTTAAAAATAAAAGTAAAATTTTTTTGCGTTTTATGTTATTAGGGAACAGGTCCTTATGCAAAGCCGATAAAGAAGATAGAAGACGACATACAGGACCACATAAAGAAAGTGAATGAGTTAGCAGGGATAAAGGAGTCTGATACTGGACTGGCTGTACCTTCACTTTGGGATCTTCCTGCCGATAAACAAGCACTCCAGAGCGAAGAACCTTTACAAGTAATATAGTACAATATATCCTCAAATAAAAACCTGATAAAATAAAGTATTAATTAGAAGAAATACGAGCCTATTTATTATACATTAAGTATAGGAGATACTTCAAAAATAAGAAATTAAAAATGAGAAATGGAAGCCCAGGCTTTTATACAAAGATTTACAGTATTTGCAATCCTCTCCTACTCTTTCTTTGCTTGTGCAGGTGGCAAGGTGTACCAAGATCATTGATGCTGATACTGATCACCCGAAATACGTGATTCATGTTAAGCAATTCGCTAAATTTGTCGTTAACTTGCACAAGAAC